AACTGAACTAAATGATTTTATTAGGGATGGCCCGATACCATTTTTTTCCAATACGAGTATTTACATTTGTGTACTTGCCGATACCGAGTACCGATACCGATATTTCTACCACAAAAGTAATAGGCTCCCAGAAGAGAAGACGACTATTTTAGAACACAGGTTAGAAGACTGTTTTTATTTTCTTCTCTGCTTGTTTTAACAAGTCTAAAAATAAATAAAAATTAGTAAAATAATAAATGTATTAACACACAAACCACTGTTATTTAACATAAAAGCAAGCAGCTACTGCGTGCATGGTCTGGCATGACTGAATGCGCGCAAAGTGCGCTCCCTTAATAAATCCTAAAAGCTGACAGTTCATCGCGATCTCACACATCTCGGTTATTATCAATGAAGCTGACTGCACAATCAACCTTTCATAATATCCACACTTTGTTATAATTAGAGGATTTGCCAGCATACAGAATTCAGCACTGAACAAAAAAGTCCGTTTTGAGCGGTGAGGGGAGTCTATCTTAAATGCTTCTGATTGGCCATTGCGTTCCAGAAATCAACACATATGTCTGTGATTGGCTACATCGCTCAACGCTGTAACCATGTTATGAATAGAAACTCTGTCCTGTAAATCGTTTCTATTTTGTTGTAGTTGTTCTTGTTGCTTTTCTGCAAGAGATGAATAAAAATCTTTTAGTTTTTATGTTTTATTCATAGATATTTCTAGTTTGCGGGAGTCCCGCGAATCGTTTTATTCTCCCGCACCCGCACACACAGAGTGAGTGCATTACCGCCCGCGCGCGCGCTCGGCCATCAGATCTATGATGCGTCTTCAGATGTTTAATTAGATTGCTGGTGTTAAACGATGTACTTTCTTTCCCTCCTCTCGACACCTTAGCTGAACATAACTCACAGTCTGCCTTGCTGTTGTCATCATCCCTTATCTTGAAATGAGCCCAAACCGCCGACATTATACTTTCCTATGCCTCAGTTCACCTCGACAAAGCTCTCGCGGCGGCCAGTTTCGTTTTGCAAAATGTACGCGGTATCGGTGCGTGGTATCGGCGAATTTTTATGAGTACGAGTATATTAGGACAGTATCGGCCCGATCCCCGATGCCAGTATCGGTATCGGGCCATCCCTAGATTTTATATTTAAAAAATCAAATCGACAGCGGGGGCGGTGCCGCGTTGGGCAAGAGATGTAACCGGTGTTGCTTCTGAACAGGTAACACCGACTAGCTTAGCAAGCCTACCTGTCGCCGATCCATCGTGTGTGTGTGTGAACACAGCAGTGACTGAATGTTACCACAGATAGTCGTACAGTGTCAAATCGTGCAGTGTGAACTGGGCATAAAAATGACAATTTAGGGGCTAAACTAAACGACTAGCGTAGAGCGCTGGAGATGTAAGGAAACAGGAGGAAGACCCTGAATCCCGTCAGGAGTGTGAGAAGCAGGGCAGTGGCGAGCTGATGGACGCTGTATTTAGCTCAGGGTTCCTCTTTCTGTCACCTCATTTATTTATTGAGTTACAGACCCATCCAGAACATCAACACATCGCCCTAGCTTTTCTAGAGCCGGTCAGCACAACACGAAACCACAACTGGGATTTGACTGGATCCTCTGGAAGCTTGTTTCCGCCACGAAATAAAAAAAACTAATTGCAACCTTTTAATCTCGTAATTCTGACCTTTTTTTTTTTTGCGTGCAATTAAGAGTTTATACCTTTTGTCTCAAAATCGTGAGATTTAAACTGGAAATTGAGAGAGAAAAAATGTCTGACTTTTTTCTTAGAATCATGAGATCTAAACTCGCAATTGCGAGACCATGACACTAAAATAATACAATAAACATTCGTTTAACAACATGAAACCCTACATAAATGTACATACATACATAATATGAATGAAATTGAATGTGAGCTGTCCCACTGAGGATTCTGGGATTGACAATTTACGGTTCTTCAGAGAAAGAGCTTCTTACAAAATGGTAATTGCTGTCTAAATATTTAATTAATTTGAATTGTTTGCTTGTTAATCGGGTTGAATGAATGATTCAATGACTCAGTCAGGACTTCACGTTTCATTAGTCGATGAATCTGCGTTTTTGAACGAATCTCTTGAATTAATGATTCAATGGAAAGTAGATTTTTTAAAAGTGAATTGTATCGCCACCTACTGGTGTAACAATATAATTGCTCTATTTTAACGCTAAATCGTGTAAGTGAAAAAGTGAATGTTTTCGTTAGCTGAAATAACTAACTAAATAGCCTACATACTTGTGAAAAAGAAACGAAAACGGATTATAACAAATTGATTTAGTATTTTATGTGGTATGAAATTGCAAATAAGAATAATGAAATTCTACAGGTATTAAGTACTGAAGTTATGAGATCTTGAAGACCCGGCCTAAGCGTCAGCACCGCCACAGGATCAGAGGAAGTTCAGGAGGAATAAATAAAGATCTGTTTCTAATCATAATCTCATGCCGCCACTTACTGTCAGCAGAACTTGCCCAAAAAAACATGATAAAGATCTTGAACATTCAGTCCAGCCATACGTCAAAATCCCCGCCAAGATGTCCAGACACCAGAACCTTACGAAAGTCACTTTCATGCAAAGACATTTTATTAATAATTCTAAGGCATTACCAAAATCAACCAGATCCTAGAACATAGTTTAAAAGAAATTAATATTTTTATTCAGCAAGGATGCATAAAATTGATCAAAAGTGACAGTAAAGACATTTAGCTATAATGTTACAAAAGATTTTATTTCAAATAAATGCTGTTCTTTTGAACTTTCTATTCATCAAAGAATCCTGAAAAAGTCCGTTTTCAACATTGATAATAATCATAAATGTTTCTTGAGCATCAGATCATCATATTAGAGTGATTTCTGAAGGATCATGTGACACTGAAGACTGGAGTAATGATGCTGAAAATCACAGGAATAAATTACACTTTACTATATATTCACATAGAAAACAGATGATTTACATTATATATCATATAACATTATATTTGTATAATTCATAATTTGTTTTATTATTTTTACAATTAATTTTAATATCTTCATCATTATATATTTAATTAATTTGTTAATATCTAATTTTTACTTTAATATTTGCTTTTTATGCATTTATTTTATTAATTTATTAATATCAAATTTGTATTTCTATAGTATTTAAACTTTTTTTTATTTCTAATGTATATTAATGTATATTTATTTGTTTATTTACTCATTTATTTGCTTATTTATTTTAATGTAATTATGTATTTTAATGTATGTATATTATTGGTTTACAATTAAATGTTATTACACTTTTTCTGTAAGCATTTCCACACACTTTTGGGAGCCCAGTTTGAAAACTCCTGCACTAAATCACAGTCCAACTGCGATCAGGATTGCAAAACCTACATCTGACAAACACTGTTGAGTATTTCGCCATTAAACAAGTTAATTTAATTAAGTTTTGGTTGATTATCTGTTCCTATTGTATTCACAGAGTCTCAAAAAACGAATCACAGAACTTCATACGTTATAATCAGCCGTATCACAGCATTAGTTACTCATTTATCCGGGACGCCTCAGAGAACAAACACAGAACACCTTCATTCAACTATCGTAAAAACACTCCCAAATATAATCCCTAATATAATTACATAAAGGTAATAATCCATTACTACGGTATTATTACCATCTGATACCATCATTGCACAAAACTCCTGTACAGTGTATAAAGAAAAAGCAAAAAAAAAAAAAAATATATATATATATATATATATATATATATAAAAAAAGATTAAAATAAAAACAATCATTTTATTCAAATAAATAATAACATTAAAACAATTAAAAAAAAAAAGTTTAAATAACGATTCTAAATATTATTGGTTATTAATTAATCTATTAAGACTAATTAAATTAGATTAAAATAAACAAAAGATGATTAATACATATATAAATAAAAAGTAGATTACAATTTAATAAATAAACAAATAGGCCTAGATATCAAATAAAAAATAAATAAACAAAATCCAACATTTGATTGAAATAAATAATAACATTAAAATAAATAAGTTCAATTCAATTCACGTTTATTTGTTTAGCGCTTTTCACAATACACATCATTTAAATAAATTAGTTAAATTAAAAAATGTAATTCAAATAGTAAAAATAATTAATCTATTAAACAGATTAAATTAGATTAGAATAAATAAAATTTGACGAATATAAATAAAGAAAACGTAGATTGGAGTAGTAGATTAGTAGAAAGTAGAATTAAATAAATAAATATTACATTTAACAGTATTACTATAGTGAAAAAATAATACTTTTGTTTATTAAGAGATAGATGACTTTTAAATTTTAATATGGTGCCATCTAAACGATTGAAAAAATAAAGTAACGTTACTACGGTAGAAATATGACAAGAGAAGCTATCAGATGTGCAAAGCTACTGTACTTTGATATATAACGTTACCTTTGTAATAAAATACCTTCAATACTCCATAAGGAAGTACCATGGTACATTCATAAATAAACATGGCAGTACCATGATACCTGAAAAATGAATTGACTTTCAAAAAAGCATTTTTTTAAAGTACCATGCACATATTATGGTAAATAAAATGCTACATCATACCGAAGTACTGCTACCTGATCTGTACGGTAAGTTACAGTAACAGCACTTTAATTCAAAGGTTTTTCTTTATTAACGCATCCACGTAAGCACTGGACAGCTAAATTTCTGCATTTCTCCCCTTAAAATGAAGTGGCAGTGTTAAACAACCCTGACAAACGAATCCAAACCGACACCAGGTCCAGTCGCCTCCCTGCTGACTGTGTGTTGTGAGACCGGGACGCGCGAGCAGGAGCGTCCGCTTGTCAGTAAATCGAGCGCGGGGATCCAACGCGGCCCACACCGCTTTTCTGCATAATAGCGTGACAAAACCCGCTTACACTTTACCAGAACCCGCTGAATGTCAGCGTTACTCCCTTACCTTTGAATTTCAGGTCGTTCGGAGGGTCTAAGACGAGGATTTGCTCCAGTTTGGACATGTTTCTGGCCGGGAAGGTGACGGTTGGTTCCGGAGGTCAATCCCAAACCCTTCCACTGAGTCACTCAGTGAGCGCGCCGGCGGCGAGAGTGCGCAGCGCGTGGACGCGCGGGGCGGTCTGTTCGCGTTCTGTTAATCCATCGGTTTTTTTTTTTTTTAAAACTACACTCAATTTGTTAGGTCCATATTGGTAAATTCAATATAAGCTGTAATTTCGGCCCCGTGATCTTTTTACCCAAAACATTCTCCCAGTTAAACGTATAGAAAGTCAAAATTATGACATACTAATTCATAATTGAGAATACAAGTCGAAACTATGGCATACTAAGACTTTTTATGTAATAATTATAGCAAAAAGTCGAAATTATGAGATATTTACATGACTTTTTATGACATAATTTCATAACTATGGTTTAAACTTAAGCATTACTTTTCTAAGTTTATATTTTCTATAGTTCAGTTGTTAATGCCTAAAATATAGAGGAACTACAGTAATTATACACCAAATTATGTTTGTTTGTTTTTTAAACTGCGTGACAGGATCTCTCTCCCTTTTTTTTGCGTGACAGGACTTTTTTTTTATTTATTTTTATTGAATGTCAGTCACATTACAAATAATAAACATTACAATAATCCAACATATAGTGTACACATATTAAACAAATATAGACTACAGCAAAAAGGAAAAGTAAATATACAGTGCAATTTGCGTGACAGGACCTTTGTTTGTGAAACGTGCCACACGTCGCTCTTGCGTCATCAGGCTGCGTCGCCTCCTGCGTACACATGTGAGCAGAAGCACACTGGTGAGCTCAATATTATACTATTTATTATTTATGTGCTTATCGCATTTTTTTTGCACGATTAACACTGCAATAATTGATCGTGCTGATTAATCTAGTGACTCGAAACTTAAGCGATTGTCGCTCGTATTATTGTCAACTATTTTTGCGTGTTTATTGATAGTAACAAAACGGGACAATCGTTATAATAACATGGTGATTTGTACTATTACCATTGTTGTTTTAGTGGTATACTTTGAAAGACCATGAAAATGCACTAGCATGGAAAATACCGTTTAGAATATTACAAATCAAAGTACTATGGACGACCATAACCGCCACAAGTAAATACAAAATAGCATGCTAGTAATGTAAAGTATGACACAAAAACTCATTATTATAGTAAGAAATGTCTAAATTATGACATACTACACCATAACGGTGAGATTATATAGTCGAAATTATGACTTTCTATGTCATAATTAAGACTTTTATGTCATGAATATGATTTTTATATCATATTGTTTTACTTTTAATCTCATAAATATGACTTTGTATGTCATATTTTCAACTTTTATCTCAATATTATTATTTACAGAAACATGTTTTTCTTATGTGGCGGAAATGTTCTTCCATTAAGTGTCACTGTGTTATTTTATTTTTTTTGTTGTTGTTGTTGTTGTTGTTTTGGACTTTTACCATAATGACACCATATTTCTGTAGTATCATGTGAATATATGAATATGGTAATTTAAATATTGTACAACAACAACAAAATACTGTGGCAGTGCCATATTAATACCATCATAATACATTGTAAGGAAGGCCGAAGTTTCCTCAGGTAATAATCAAATGTATTTTTAGGCGTGAGTTTAAGGTGATGCTTGAGAAGATGGAAGCCAAAGGTCAAAGGTCATTAAAGGGTAAACCGAAGGGTCATAAACGGGCCGTTCAGGGGAACAGCGGTGACGGCGGGGCGAAGAAGCAGCGGCTCGACGGCGGGACGGTCAGTTACTTTCGGCGCGTCAGCGACCGGCTGAAAGAGGGATTCACCGATGAGGAGGACAAAGGTGAGATGAAAACAAGATAAACCATCTTCCCTCATTCTAGTGTTGACAAAAGTACCAAAATTATGACGCTTTGAGCGTAATCATAAACTCCTCTGATTGGCCGTTGTGTTCACGAGCTCATCGGATATGTCTGTGATTGGCTACAATGATCAACGCACGGGAGCGTTTTAAAGTTTTTTAAAAACACTGTATCTGTGTAAGCGCTCGGTGAAGAGCGTCACTGATGTATATTTACTACATGTTGTTGAAGCGTTGATCATTATAGCCAATCACAGACATATCCAATAAGTGCGTTAGCACAACGGCTAATCAGAGGAGTTTATGATTCCGCTCAAAGTGGCACATTTTTAAAATTTCATTACCGAAGTCAGTACTTTTGACAACACTAACTTACCAGGTGTGTGTCCAGGTGTGTGTTGTGTGTTCAGGTGTGTGTTGTGTGTTCAGGTGTGTGTTGTGTGTCCGGGTGTGTGTCCAGGTGTGTTCAGGTGTGTGTTGTGTTTCCAGGTGTGTTCAGGTGTGTGTTGTGTGTCCAGGTGTGTTCAGGTGTGTGTTGTGTGTCCAGGTGTGTTCAGGTGTGTGTTGTGTTTCCAGGTGTGTTCAGGTGTGTGTTGTGTGTCCAGGTGTGTTCAGGTGTGTTGTTGTGTGTCCAGGTGTGTTCAGGTGTGTGTTGTATTCAGGTGTGTGTTGTATTCAGGTGTGTGGTGTGTTCAGGTGTGTGTTGTGTGTCCAGGTGTGTTCAGGTGTGTGTTGTGTGTCCAGGTGTGTTCAGGTGTGTGTTGTGTTTCCAGGTGTGTTCAGGTGTGTGTTGTGTGTCCAGGTGTGTTCAGGTGTGTGTTGTGTGTCCAGGTGTGTTCAGGTGTGTTGTTGTGTGTCCAGGTGTGTGTTGTGTGTCCAGGCGTGTTCAGGTGTGTTGTGTGTCCAGGTGTGTGTTGTGTGTCCAGGCGTGTTCAGGTGTGTGTTGTGTGTCCAGGTGTTTCCAGGTGTGTTCAGGTGTGTTGTGTGTCCAGTAGGGGTGGAACGGTACATGTATTCGTACCGAACCGAAACGGTACGGGCGTCACGGTTCGGTGCACGAATTTACACGGAGAATACACGGTATAAAAATAAATAAAACTCGCGTGAAAATTAATTAATGTAATGCGGAACTACTGTTAGATACGCGGGTTCTTTAGGGACACATAATCTGTACCATCGGCTTGCTCTGAACGCGCGTTCACTTCAAACGTTGGCTTTATACGCGCGTCCTATTCGCTTTGGACTAGCGTCGAACTAGACGCGATAGACGCGAATTTAACGCTCTATTCGTGGTTGGTGTGACCGCATAATGAACAGGCTGCGATGTCAAGATTGCAATGCTGGATTGTGTGTGTTTGTGTGTGAGAGAGAGGCGCGCGGGCGCGATCAAACAGTGGAAACATAAAAAACATTCTCCGTCATTTTGTTCATACAGATCATTAAACCTGCAAAGTGTTTACTTATATTTGTGTACACTCGCAAGAAAACACAACATTGTGCTTTTGACACACAGTAAACTCTTGTCAAACTGTATCCTACAACTGTCACCCAACCAAAATCTCTCTCTCTCTCACACACACACACACACACACACACACACACACTGTTTTAAAAGCAAAACATATTTATCCAACTCCATTTCAAAACAGTCTGTCTTTTGGACATTCGTCATATCGCATTGGTTTTCATTTCTTGTCCTCGGAGCACTAATCTTACACATTCTACATTGATTAAAAAAGAAAATCGAATGCGTTTTTAATGGTAGTATTATTTTATACAGAAATCAATTATTTATAATTCAGATGAGAATAATGTTACATTGTTAATTAATAATGTTAATTAAAATTAAGGAAAACAAATATATTTATCTGAATTATAGCAAATTAATTTTAAATTAATTCAGGTACAATTACCAAACATATAGCAAGGTCTTTTTGTCTTTTTATTAATTTAATTAATAAACGAATTATATAAAACTATTGTCAGTGCACTACAAATAAACTGGTTCTATACCTTTATTAATAAAACTTATTTAAAAAATACAATGCCTTCTGCATTTTTGTTTTGCTTTTCCCTCCATTGTACCGAAATCGTACCGAACCGTGATGTCTGAACCGAGGTATGAACCGAACCGTGACTTCTGTGTACCGTTCCACCCCTAGTGTCCAGGTGTTTCTAGGTGTGTCCAGGTGTGTCCAGGTGTGTTCAGGTGTGTTCAGGTGTGTGTTGTGTGTCCAGGTGTTTCCAGGTGTGTTCAGGTGTGTTGTGTGTCCAGGTGTTTCTAGGTGTGTCCAGGTGTGTTCAGGTGTGTTGTGTGTCCAGGTGTTTCCAGGTGTGTTCAGGTGTGTGTTGTGTGTCCAGGTGTTTCTAGGTGTGTCCAAGTGTGTTCAGGTGTGTGTTGTGTGTCCAGGTGTTTCCAGGTGTGTTCAGGTGTGTGTTGTGTGTCCAGGTGTTTCTAGGTGTGTCCAGGTGTGTTCAGGTGTGTTGTGTGTCCAGGTGTTTCTAGGTGTGTCCAGGTGTGTTCAGGTGTGTGTTGTGTGTCCAGGTGTGTTCAGGTGTGTGTTGTGTGTCCAGGTGTTTCTAGGTGTGTCCAAGTGTGTTCAGGTGTGTTGTTGTGTGTCCAGGTGTTTCCAGGTGTGTTGTGTGTCCAGGTGTGTTCAGGTGTGTGTTGTGTGTCCAGGTGTGTTCAGGTGTGTGTTGTGTGTCCAGGTGTTTCCAGGTGTGTTGTGTGTCCAGGTGTGTTCAGGTGTGTTGTTGTGTGTCCAGGTGTGTCCAGGTGTGTTCAGGTGTGTGTTGTGTTTCCAGGTGTGTTCAGGTGTGTTGTGTGTCCAGGTGTGTTCAGGTGTGTGTTGTGTGTCCAGGTGTGTTCAGGTGTGTGTTGTGTGTGTTGTGTGTCCAGGTGTGTTCAGGTGTGTGTTGTGTGTCCAGGTGTGTTGTGTGTCCAGCTGTGTGTTGTGTGTCCAGGTATGTTCAGGTGTGTGTTGTGTGTCCAGGTGTTTCCAGGTGTGTTCAGGTGTGTTGTGTGTCCAGGTGTTTCTAGGTGTGTCCAAGTGTGTTCAGGTGTGTTGTTGTGTGTCCAGGTGTTTCCAGGTGTGTCCAGGTGTGTTCAGGTGTGTGTTGTGTTTCCAGGTGTGTTCAGGTGTGTTGTGTGTCCAGGTGTGTTCAGGTGTGTGTTGTGTGTTCAGGTGTGTGTTGTGTGTCCAGGTGTGTTCAGGTGTGTGTTGTGTGTCCAGGTGTGTTGAGGTGTGTGTTGTATGTCCAGGTGTGTTGTGTGTTCAGGTGTGTGTTGTGTGTCCAGGTGTGTTCAGGTGTGTGTTGTGTGTCCAGGTGTGTTGAGGTGTGTGTTGTATGTCCAGGTGTGTTGTGTGTTCAGGTGTGTGTTGTGTGTCCAGGTGTGTTTTGTGTGTCCAGGTGTGTTGTGTGTCCAGCTGTGTGTTGTGTGTCCAGGTATGTTCAGGTGTGTGTTGTGTGTCCAGGTGTTTCCAGGTGTGTTCAGGTGTGTTGTTGTGTGTCCAGGTGTTTCCAGGTGTGTTCAGGTGTGTGTTGTGTGTCCAGGTGTGTTGAGGTGTGTGTTGTGTGTCCAGGTGTGTTGTGTGTTCAGGTGTGTATTGTGTGTCCAGGTGTGTGTTGTGTGTCCAGGTGTGTTGTGTGTCCAGCTGTGTGTTGTGTGTCCAGGTAAGTTCAGGTGTGTGTTGTGTGTCCAGGTGTGTCCAAGTGTGTTCAGGTGTGTTGTTGTGTGTCCAGGTGTTTCTAGGCATGTCCAAGTGTGTTCAGGTGTGTTGTTGTGTGTCCAGGTGTGTTCAGGTGTGTGTTGTGTGTCCAGGTGTGTGTTGTGTGTACAGGTGTGTTCAGGTGTGTGTTGTGTGTCCAGGTGTGTGTTGTGTGTGTTGTGTGTACAGGTGTGTTCAGGTGTGTGTTGTGTGTCCAGGTATGTGTTGTGTGTCCAGGTGTGTTCAGGTGTGTGTTGTGTGTCCAGGTGTGTTCAGGTGTGTGTTTTGTGTCCAGGTGTGTTCAGGTGTGTGTTGTGTGTCCAAGTGTGTTCAGGTGTGTGTTGTGTGTACAGGTGTGTCCAGGTGTGTGTTGTGTGTCCAGGTGTGTGTTGTGTGTCCAGGTGTGTTCAGGTGTGTGTTGTGTGTCCAGGTGTGTTCAGGTGTGTGTTGTGTGTCCAGGTGTGTTCAGGTGTGTGTTGTGTGTCCAGGTGTGTTCAGGTGTGTGTTGTGTGTGTTGTGTGTCCAGGTGTGTTCAGGTGTGTGTTGTGTGTCCAGGTGTGTTCAGGTGTGTGTTGTGTGTCCAGGTGTGTTCAGGTGTGTGTTGTGTGTCATGACAGGTGTGTTTGTGGAGAACGTGCTGTCGGAGGTGAAGGGCCGAGCGCTTCTCGTGGCCATGGACATGACGGGGAGTCTGGTTCTGGAGGGTTTGCTGGCGCTGGCCAGTCCGGCTCAGGTCGCAGAAGTGCTGGAGGAACTGGGAGGAGAGACGGGGTCAGAGTTCACAGCCGTGGCGTGTGATCAGTGTGGAGGTCATGTGATGGAGAGCGCAGTGAGACAGGCGCACAGGTGGACAGGTGAGCGCACGCAAATCCAGCTTTTAGTGTTGTTTATGTGTCTATGTGGTGTTTTTAATACGCTTTAAGACACACCATGTGTAAGTTCATAAGTCGACAGCATTGCTGAGTATTTTCTGCTTAAAACTGCAGTGAACCAAAGACAGTCTCAAAAACACGGTTTGAAATCGCTGGTGTTTCTGACGTCACAAACGACCTTGTAACCAATCAGATCAACGTGTGATCGTCAACGAGTCATAGTTTCACTTTATATGATTGAATTTAGATTACTTTTATTCACATGTAAACATTGATCAGTTGTGGTAAACGGAAGCTCAAACGTTTGCTTGATGTGCGAGAACTATAGACTGTGAACAAATATGAACGTGTGTGTGTGACGTCACTCGTAGTGTTTCTGAAGAGCATTTTTGAAGCCCAAAGTGGGCGGAACCGGCCGTCGCCGTCTTGGCCGCGCGTCACTCGTGCAGCGAGGCGGATTAGCTGAGGTGACGTGACGCTAACACACAGGAGACAAACGGCTAGCAGTGACATTAGCGGCAATCCACCTGTCACTCAAGTGGCCACGCCCCTAATTATGCACAACTTTAAGGCTTAATATAATTTAAAATATAGTTATAAAATAAATCACCCGCCTCACAGTCGTCATGAAGGGCAACATTAGCGAAATAGACCAAAACCACTTTTTGCACCAGACTGTAAACGTGTTTTTTCCTGCTGTAAAGTTGGGCATTTTAACATGCAGGTCTATGGGATTGAGTTTCTTCTGCAGCCGGCCTCTAGTGGCCAGTGGAGGAACTGCAGTTTAAGTCACTCAGTGTTGATTCGAGAGAGAGACGGGAAGATTGAAGCTTGGCGAGAACCAATGGTTAATTCTCGAGTGTCGCCTGGGCGTCTGTGTGTGTAAATCTGATCTCATGTTCCTCTACAGAGGAGAAGTGTGACGTCACAGGGGCCGAAGAGGAGCATTGTGGGCTGTTGGAGGCTCAGGTGCAGCGTTTGAGTGGAGTGGTCCGGGAGAACATGGTGGCGTTCGCTCAGGATCCGTACGGATCGCATCTGCTCCGGACACTCATGCAGGTGCTCAGCGGATGCCTGACCCGGGACACACCCGGCGCTCAGAAAGGTCAGAAACATCATCATCATCATCATCATCATCATCATCATCATCATCATCATAACAAACCTGTTTCAAGGTTTGCGTTCTCGAGCACTCAAACGCATTAAGGGTTTTGAGTTAAACGGTGTCGTGTTAGCGGCCCCTAAGTTAATAACTAATGATCTTTACATTGGTAGTGAATCAATCAAAACTAACTTCATCTGGACAATAACTTTATTCTAGAGCTGCTGTAAAGCCTAAACAATCTCTGTTACTGTAATCTCCTGTTATCACTGTAAAGATGCTGTGAAACTCTATATATTGTTAAAGCGCTGTATAAATGAAGCTGACTTGACTTGTTTTAATCAAGTGTTGGTGTTGTAGTCCTTTAAGTACATTTATTTGGTTATATTTTTGTTGTTGCAATTTTATGATATCATTTACATTTATTCATTTAGCGACTTACAAATGAGTAATGTTTGTTTTGTTTCAATTTAATCTGGTAATTTAAGAAAGAAAATATCAAAAATGGGAAGCGTCATGAAGTGCGTGGAAATGGATTGAATAATATATGTCGGGAGATATGGACGATTTTTAACCACTTCATGAGTTTTTGAAGTTTTTTCGTTTTGTATAATTTGTATGTTAAAGGTGCAGTGTGTAATTTTTAGCGCATCTAGTGGTGAGGTTGAGAATCGCACCCAACCGAAGTTACGGTGGCCGACAGGAAGTGATGTCGTCGTCTGAGACAGCAGAGAGTAGCCAGTTAAACAATGAGGTTTCTTTACAAAGATAAATGAAGAAATTACGTTTAATTATTCAGTAAAACTATGTTATTGTGAATATTATTGTGACTTGTTCATCATTGTGTCAGTGTTTTATTCGCTGACTTTAGCAGCTTCTTATCATGAAGAACAACATAGTGACGAAACGCGTTTGTCCGTTCAGGGCCACCGTAGAAGCATGTGGATGTAAGCGGACCCGCGGTGTGTGTAGAGAGAAACGCTCATTCTAAGCTGATAAACACATAACGGGTCATTGTGTAAGATCTTATACACCAGTGAAAACATAGTTATGTTTATGATATTGCATTTCTGTCAACAGATCCTCCTAAATATTACACACTGCACCTTTAATCAATGTTTTAACTTTAACTTTACTCATTTCTGATTGTCTGAAGTCAGCTTCTGGTTTCTAGAAACGTCTCTGTCGTCTTTATCTCGAGCATCTGATCATTTTTCCTCTGTTTAATGTGTTTTCAGCCAAGAAGGACAGAAGATGTGAGAGTGAGTTGGTGGATTTTGAGATTCCCACATCGTTCTGGTGGGAGCTGAAGCATCTGGCCGAGCATCTGATGGAAAACATCAACGGTATCATTCTCCTACCAGCGTTTTTAACTTAAACTAATGGCAACTAGCTGAAATATATAAATAATTTCAATTTTATTTCAGTTAACGTTTATTTATTTTTTTATAAGTAACACTTTTTTATGGTTTTAGTTAACTGTAATAACCCTGTGATATAATTGCTATACTATTTTTTGGATATATATATTTTTTTAATCTCTATTTTTTTATTCGTTTTTATTTCAGTTTTGGTTATTTTAGCACATCAAGTCTGTTTTTATTTTAGTTTTATTAGTATTTTGAATTAGTTTTTTTGTTAATTTTAGTTACATTTTTAGTACTTTCGTTATGTGCTTTTGTCTTTTTATTTATTTAAATATTGCTATTTAAGTTTAGTTTCAGTTTTATTTTTTATTTTCAGTTAATAATTTTAGTGCTTCAACTATTATTGCCAACTAGAGATGGACCGATATTGTTTTTTTATCATTAACAATACCAATTATTTGCATGTTTATGTGCCCGATAACCGATATTCAGAACCGATATTTTCTCTATTGCCAAGGCAACAGTTCTAATTTTCATTTAGCTTTTGATCTAATATTTGTACTTTATTTTATTTCAATTAATATTTTTAATAGTTGTAATTTTAGTTAATGCATCAAGTAAACTAAAGGCAACTAGCTGACACACACACATATATATATATATATAATTTCAATTTTATTTCAGTCAACTTTTATTTTATTTCAAGTTTTTTTTTATGGTTTTACTTAACTGGAATAACCCTGCACTATAATTGCTATATGTTTTTTTTAATGTCTATATTGTTTTGATTAATTTTTAGTTAAGTTTTGGTTATTTTAGTACATCAAGTCTGTTTTTATTTTAGTTTTATTAGTATTTTGAATTAGATTTTTTGTTAATTTTAGTAAAAGTTTTAGAACTTTCGTTATGTGCTTTTTGTAAAAAAAAAAAAAATAATAATAATATTGCTATTTAGGTTTAGTTTTAGTTTTTATTTTCAGTTAATCATTTTAGTGCTTCAATTATTGCCAACTAGAGATGGACCGATATTGATTTTTATTACCAATACCAATTATTTGCATGTTCATGTGTCCGATAACCGATATTCAGAACCGATATTTATTTATTTTATTTCTGTTTTATGGCAATTATATTTGCCGTTTATCGGTTAAACCGATATTACAAAACCGATACCCAATTATGGGAAAATGCTTAAATATCAGTTAAAACAGATTATCAGTAGATCTCTATTGCCAAGGCAACATTTCTAATTTTCGTTGAGTTTTTCTATCTAATATTTATACTATATTTTATTTTAGCTTTATTTCAATGAACAGAAATATTTTTATTAGTTGTAATTTTAGTTAATGCATCAAGTTAAACTAAAGGCAACTAGCTCAAATAAATAAATAAATAAATTGTAAAAAAAAAAAACCTAATTAAAAACATTAGATACTTGAAATAAAATAAACGTTAACTGAAATATATATATTTATTACATTTTATTTCAGTTAACGTTTATTTTATTTCAAGTATCTGTTTTTAAGTAACTGTAATGACCCTGCACTATATTTCTATATTCTCTAAAATTCTACATTAAAATTTCAGTGATGTTCAACTGTGTGTTTTCTTCAAATCACACTCTGATGTCGCACTTGTTCGCAGTGTTCGTGTCGAATCTGACCGCCTGCGCGGCTCTCCAAACTCTGCTGACGGTGTGCCACCGGAAGAGACCCAAACTCTGCAAGAAGCTCAACAAGAGCATCATGGGATACCTGACGTCACTCAGCTCGGCTCCTGGAGTCAGGTGAGGGAGATCATCCAGCGCAGTGTTCATTTCGAATTGTTTTATAGACGAAAACGAGATTATAACTAAATAAAAAACAGTTTTAAATGACAAAAACTATGATGAAAATCTACATACATTTGCGTCAACAAATAAAAACAAGACGAAATGTTATGTATGGATGATTCGGGAAGAGATCCAGTCAGAACTGAACGTAAACCGTTGTGAGATTATCAGACGAGCATCAGAGCGTTGGATCCACGCGTTCGTTCTTAAAGTGACAGTGTGTGATAAACCTAATGCCGTCGAGCCCTTCATATTATTCAAACAACAAAAGAAAAAGAGAGAAGCATTCACAGCTCTTTAATAGCTTTAATAAGGATTCATTATATTTAATTTAGACAAATAAATGATGTATGATGTATTCAAGTTGTTTTAAAGAATGCATATCATTAATTGAAAAAAAGATTAGGAGTTTTAAGATATTTTTTTTTAACAGTTAAACAGTTAAATCTGTGTCTGTACTGCATGTTCAAACTTTAAAATCATTCATATTAACAGGTTAATAGACGTTTTCTCCGGGAGTATATAATGGGTTTGGAAATTTTAGAGAAATTCTAAATTAATGCATTATAATTTAACTAAACCCATTAGATTTAGTCGAGTAGTATCTTATTGTATTTGGTCGCCTCAACTAGACAAACAATTCAGATGTACTAAAATATGACTAAAACTAAATGGCATTTTAGTCAAAAGACTATGACTAAAACTAAATAAAATGTTGCTGTCGAAATTAACACTGATCGAGTGATAGATGTATGTGGAGTACTGACCCGTTTTCATAACTAGATGCGATAAGCTTCTAGCGACAAATAAATTCGTCTGTCCACACTAGACGAGACGCGTCAAAATAAATCAAAACCCACAGCCAATCAGAGCAGCGTGTGGGTGGAGTCTCGCGGCGAGTGCGCGGCACCGGAGAGTCATCCTGACGGCACTCGCAAGAACATTATTACACATTATACACTAGGGCTGACAATCTTCCTCTATAATACTATTCGAATTCCATTCCTTATTTTATTTAATATTCGAATAATATTCGAATTTTAAATGCTCAAATTCATCCTATTATTAATATTTACGCCATTACTCAGGCTTATGTATCGCCAATGCCACTATAGCATGTGGTTGTTGTTACACGTTCTGTCCACTAGAGGGATATCTAACATTACAATAAACATTTTATTCGTGCTGAATATGGTTGAAGCGCTACCGATGGTTTTCGGCTAATATCTCCGCTAAAACACCAGCAAACATTCTGAAACTTATATCGTTCTTTTCAGTTCGACTAGACGGTTCCAGCGAGTTTGGTGCTCGCCGAATCCGTTGAGTTTTCACCAAGATATTTGCGCTTCACGGGCGCTTTTTTACGTTGTTAAACATTTACCATTTTTGACAGTATTGTTATGATGATACAGCGTGGATAACGTGCACAATTGTGTTACGATTCAAAAACGTTATTGTTCATCAGACGAAACAAAAGGATTTCATTTTCACATGTGTGTAAGTCAAGGTGGCGAGAAAGGCAAGATTCCATATAAAAAAATTAATGAATGGGAATAGGAGCAGGCTTCACTCAGTGATTAAACTTAAACTTTAAGAATGCTGGCCTGATGATTAGAATATATAACGTTAAACAGGAAAGAGGCCGCACTATGCATAAATTGTTTTATTTGCACAAACGCGTTTCGGCGCGTGCCTTCTTGAAACGCGTTTGTGCAAATAAAACAATTTATGCATAGTGCGGCCTCTTTCCTGTTTATATATATAAAAAAAATTAAATATACATAAAAAAACAATATTCGAATAGTAACTTCAACATTCGAATAGTATTGATTTTTTTAATATTCGAATTATATTCGAATTTCGGAATTCGTTCCAACAGCCCTATTATACACCAACATTATTCAAATACATAGGCTGAGTTAGTAAAACAATCTTAGATTAGAAGAATACACTTGTTCGTTCTCAGTTTGAACGTTCTTGTTTCCATTTGTTTCATTTCAAGATCTGAGGTGAATTATCCACTGTTGCTTTTACAGCTGCAAAGCTGGAGCACTAACTGATATTCAGAGTCACATTACACGCTTTTAACAGTAAATAAAGCACATAAACAGCGCCTGAGATTAGCATCGCCACTCTTTGTGTTTGTTTTTCCAGCGCGACGTCGCAGAAAAAGAGAAACCGTTTCTAAAATAGAATCGTCGCCGTCGCGGCCGGTTAGGACAAACACTCTGATTAACATGGAAAAGATGCATTTTATCTGAAATTTCTATATCTATCTCCATCTCCTCCTAGAGCTTTAACCCTTTCACACGTAAGTTTACAATATTCGAACTGATCCCCCAGCGTGAGTTTTTCTAGGCGACCGTTATTTAGAACCTGCCACTTTAATGTTTCCATGGTGACGCGTCATTGCTTGTCACGTGACACAGCGCAACCACAACACAGCGCTGAATGAATGATGATCTGCTTTCATGTCATTTTTCCTTTCCTTTTCCTGATATTCCAATTGTCAAATATGTGCAAGTGGATGTGTTTTGTTGTTTGAACAGCTGTATAACGGTCGCGTTAGTTGAGCTGTATGTGCGATGGGCGGCGGCATGTTAGTTCACAACGCGTCAATTCCTCAACTTCTCACGAAATACATGAAAGCAAGTGGCTGGTGAACTGGGAGAAGAATAGGGTAAAATGTAAAGCTACTTACACAATGTGTATTTGATATGAATAAAACGTGTCGTCTTATTATAATGGAAAGGATTATTATTGCCGCTTCCATAGACATCATTGTGTATTTTACAAACTCAAAAAAAAATTTTTGCTAGTACTTATGTGTATGTAAATGTCTGAAACCTAAAATAAACATTATGTGGTTGAAAACACTGAATAGTTGTGATATAAATACAGCACTGAGTGCGCCCGTCTCTGGCTCAGCGCCAGCCAACGCGCGACAGCACTTTAGAAACAGGTTTGAATTTAGCAGTTGATCACGTGATGCACTGACCGTTCTAATCACACCGGTGTGATCGTACATGTGAAAGGGTTAGCTCCACATACTCCAAATTTGGCTCAGACACTCAAACTGTTCTGACTCGGTGTGCTATATCTTTTCTAACTGATCGGACTTACGGTTTTCCTAAAAGTGACAATCAAAACTCGGAAAAACTCCCATTGACTTAACATTGCGGAATCTTCAGATTTTCAAACTCCCCAACTGCCAAAATTTCAAATCTAAACACCTTGAAGTCCTAGACTCAATCAAACTGCCATTCTATACATGAATATCAGATGATGTCACCAACGTCTCCTCACTGACGTCACTCAATTCTAAAACTTGTCTTCCGCCATCTTGAGTACCTGATTCGGCAAGATCGATACGTCAGTCGCAAAGGAACTAGAGCTTATTCTCTGGCCGAGCCCCAACTTGCGGGCCGATATTTCCCGTCACTATCCTCGGGCCGGGCCCTTGATCTAGAGACGTGCACTCCCAACGCAAAAGAGATTGCGCCGCGGGACTAGATTTGATGGCCGAGTGCGGGCGGCAATGCACTCTCTGTGTGTGTGCGCGTTGCAGGGAGAATAAAACGATTCGCGAGACTCCCACAAACTAGAAATATCTATGAATAAAACATAAAAACTAATACATTTTTGCAGAAAAGCAACAAGAACTAAAACAAAATAGAAACGATTTACAGGCCAGAGTTTCCCTTTAAAACACATTTGCAGCGTTGAGCAATGTAGCCAATCACAGACATACGTGTTGATTTCTTCAACGCAAAGGCCAATCAGAAGCATTTAAGATAGACTCCCCTCACCGCTCAAAACGGACTTTTTGTTTAGAGCTCTGTATGCTGACAAATCCTCTAATTGTAACAAACAACGTGTATATATTATGAAAGATTCATTGTGCAGTCAGCTGAATTGATAATAACAAAGATGTGAGATCGCGATTAACTGATGTCAGTTTTTAAGGAATTATTAAGAGAGATAGACGTTTGTCATTCAGTCAAAATCCTTCAGTGATATCATGCCCAACCATGCACGCAGTAGCTGCTCGCTTTATGTTATAACAGTGGTTTGTGTGTGCAAACTCTCTGTGCAGTGTTCATTCTGTCTGTGGTGAGTGGATGTAAATGATAATGAGCTTACGCTAGCTTAGGGGTGTGCGATATCACGATTTATGATCGTGGATTAAAATATATCCACAATCTGCTTTTGAAGAAATGTCGTAGTATCGTGCATTCTATCAGTTGCAGTTCTGGCGCCTCCGTCTCAGCATAGGCTACAGCGCGACGTATATTCACATCAAATGTTAACGCAGAGGAACGGGACAATGCAGTTCACATAAGTTCATTATTTGCATGTGCTAACAAGTCATTCACGTGTTGATGCGCGGTTCTAACGAGCGCTTTTCTGAGCGCACGCGCACTAAGCCTGTCTAACAACAGCGACAGGTTACTGAACTAAGTTATCTTTCTAGTCTTATTGTGCGAATACTGTCAAATACACACAGGGTTTACATAAACAAAGTTGGTTATGTATAAAGTGAAACAAACAGAAAATCTGCTTCCTAGCTAATGCCGTCAGTATTGTAGACAGTACTCGGCAGGTACTCAAGATGGCGGCAGTCAACTGGAAAAAGAGCGGATGACGTAAGAGGTCATGTGACTGATATTCATGTATATGAGCCATTGAGACTCATCAATAAACTCATCTATCTATGACACTTATCTATCTATCTATCTACACTTATCAACTCTTAAACTCATAATAAATTAATAAACTCTAAACTTGAACTCTTAGACACATTTAAACTTATAAACTCTAAACTCATAACACGGTGTCAGTCCTCTCTGGTGTTCATGAGATCGAATATATCTATCTATATATATATATATATATATATATATATAATATATGTTCATGAGCTGAAATAAAATATTAGTTGGAAAACTTAAATACACAAAATTAGAAATGTTGAAGAAGCACTAAAGTTATTAACTGAAAATAAAGAACTAAAACCGAAATTCAAAATAAATTAAATCTAAGTAATAAAAGCTAAAAAGACTATGACTAAAACTAAATGAAAATTTGCTGTCAAAATTAACACTGATCGGGCGATAAAAATACATTATTGTTGGTCTAACTTAAAAAAGGAAGTAACCTGGTTGCCTTAATTTTAAGTTCATCGAAATTTAAAAAATTGAGTTGATACAATGAAGGAGATTGGTTCAAAATATTATGTTATCTGAACCACATAAATTATTACGTTGATTTGATAAAAGAAAAAATGCGTGATAACAAATGATGTAAATATGTGTGTGTGTTGAGTTCTGACTCGTGACTGTTTCTGCTTCAGTCCTCTCCTGGTGTTCATGAAGGACCCGTCCGGGAGCCATCTCCTCCAGAAGATCTTCAAGTTCTCCCAGAAGGCTTTGCTGCGAGACGTTTACAGGAACCACCTGAGATCTCAGCTGATGCCTCTGGCTCTCCATCCCATCGCTAACTTCCCCATCCAGAGCCTGATCTCAGCCTCCACACCCTTCAAACTGGTGATGCTTTCTTTACCAGCGATACTGATGTTTCGCATCTTCATTCCCAATCATCATTCCTAATGCCGACACCTGACAGCCAATCCAAGTCAGAGTAGGGCAGAATTGTTTTCAAAGTATTTTACACCGCGAGTCTGACAACTGGACACACTGCCGAACAAAGAACGATTTTTGAGACGTAAGTGTTCATTGAATCGATTTTCCATGTCTAAAGACGTTTCCATTTTCAACACCAAAAACAGGCAAATCCACGGACACCTAACAGGCATTAGGACGAGCGTAAAGAGGCGCTTGAGACGCACAAGTCAGCAATATTCCTGATGATTTATTGGCGTGAACAGTGTTTCCTCTAGGATTTTTTCCAGCCGTGGTGGCAGGCCCATTTCGCCAGGGGGAGGGGGCGTGGCCCATGAGTGATATTCCCATTGGCCACGCCCCCTTATCCCAGGTGTTTAAACCTCCCCTAAGCATTATAACATGAAAGGCCCCAATAAGAGCGGCAAAGCGATTATGCGCATCCCGTGCGCAGAATGATGCACTTGAAGCAACGTGAAGTCACAGCGTGCAGCGCTTCGCATTGAAAAGTTCAAAGCACAAACCGAAGAGATTATATCTGTCTATGCTTAATGTATTATATCTATGCAACAGTTTATTGAGCCTTTTCTTTTAAAAGGGTCATATAATGCCATTTTTGTACAAGCTAATATGATTCTTTAGGGTCTAAATTAAAAGTTTGTAATATACTTTAATTAAAAATTCTCATTAGTATTGTAAGAAAACACTTATTTTACCTGGTCAAAAACAGCTCTGTTTTCAGCACGCCGTTTCAGTGCATATGCCTTTAAATGATAATGAGCTTTGCTGACTCCGCCCCTCTGTTCTGTGCGTACACCGTTTGTAACACAATAACACAATAACCATAACGCGTTGTTCAGTATAAACGTGGGGTTATGAATTATATTGAGAACGTCATACATAGACAACATGCCGTAATGTACCCTGAGTGTAAACCTTAGACGCATTCATTGTGAAGCGTGCAGCTAGCGATTTGCAAAGATTAATATATTAATATAAAGTTTAATAAAACGTTACACTCACTTCCATTCTTCTGGAGATTCAGCAGGAACACGAATATCTGGTACCGATCCTTTTTAGCAAAGCTTCTTAGCAAATCCAGCTTTATACTGATCCTCGTTTATAAAGCAGTCTGGTGAGAAATGATTCGCGCAAACATGAGAGCATTGACGTTGCTCGTGGGGAATATTCCCTTCGAAAACAAACTCTGCCACTGCGTCTTCAGCGGTTCGGATTTAGGAACATTAAAATGACTGTGTTCGTTATTACACCCAAGAACAGAACACCACAATCGCTTAGAGCCATTCTGCTCATAGACAGTGCTCCAGCATATCAACAATGAGCGCGCCGGTCCGCGCAGACTATGATTGACAGCTGGCTCACGAGCGAGGGCGGGTCTGTGTTGAAACGCTGCTGTCAATCAACAATCGTGGGAGGGGCTTCCGAGCGTGTGACGTCACAGGCTCGAACGGCTGGATTTGAGGCAGGGGAAAACATATAAGGAGATTAAAACAAAAACACTGGATGGATTTTTATCATTATATGATGGTTGTGTACAGACACTGCCAACACACATTTCAGTACAATCAACTTGTAAAAGTGCATGTACCATTATATGACCCCTTTAACAGTTTTAAATTTCAGTTACAGTGCGCGTGAAGAACAATTCATAGTGCTCTCTACTCTAGTGCTGTAATCTAGCAGACACCCGGGAGAAAGGAATATGATTTAGAAAGCGCTATAAACTCCAGCAAGATAAAGTAATTTTATGCAAACCATAGACCTTTATCTACAAATAAAGTATAATAATGGGAACATTGATCTTGAAGAGAGTGTCGTCGTGTTACTGTTGTAACCGAACGTGACGTGCTGTTTGAATGCTGAATGGAGAATGACTGAGGAGAGATGAGTTTCCATTAACTTTAACTTAACGACTTAAATATACATTTTTACCTCACATTATGCTATTGAATGACTTTAGAAGTCTTGGAATATAGTGCGAAAACTTTATGGTGCTTTACAATGTTTTGTATGCCTTTAGTGGGGCTTAACAATAACACATACAATATCGGACCGAGAAGCTGCAGTCGTGGCGGGATGATTTTAGGTGTGGCGGCGCGCCACGGCAGAATGAATGTAGCGGAAACACTGGGCGTGAAGTTTCAGCACAATGACAAACAGGAGCGCAACATTCATGGATTGAGATTAACGCCCTCGACCCGCCAGATGCGCGTACAAATGAACTTTGGCGGGAAACGCTGTCAAATCACGAGCCGATCTGGCGTTTACTCACTTTTCTGGGGAAGTTCGTGTGAGACAAATCTGCGCGGATTTAGCGCAAATACGCAACTCGTGATCCTCATGATATATTAAATACAGCGCAGAATCTGCTCATTTCTGGCTTACTTGAACACACACACACACACGTCACTACACAACAAATAACGGCACGCTTGTTCACTTGCATTGGAGCAATAGCGAATATTAAAAGCATTTGGTGAACAGAAAAGACATTGTTATTTTCCAGCATCCTACATTTTCTGTGTGCTGTGTTGATCTGTCCACCTAACACATAAAAAAAAAAGAAAAAAAAGGCCTGTTAAAATTGATTCCCTATTTTCGTTTTTGATACTTGTGTTGGTTGGTCCCATCGATTGTGCAATCGATTTTCGTATGTAAAGTGACAGCCCTAGAAAGCAAGCCTGAGGCAAGTTTACAATGCTAACTGTCGCCAGATACAGACAGTGATGTTGCCAATGTCATTATTTAACCCACTGTTATTAACCAATAATGTCACCAAAGTTAATTGTTCATTTATGGAGACGAGTGGCTAATGTAGGCTAACGTCAACACAGGGTTTCCGCGGATTCTTAAAAAGTCTTAAATTAGATTTTTCAAATTTAAGGCCATAAAAAGTCTTATTCTTACTAATGAATGGTCTTAATTTTTCTATGGCAATTTCTAATTAGCGTACTTTTTTATTTATTATTCTTTCTTTGTGGATTTGCTTGTTCACGTGACATTTCGTGTCACACTTTTTTCCACCTTTGTTGCCATTGGCTTGGCTTACTTAATTTAACATTTAATAATATTATTAATACTCAAATAATATTGATCTGCCTGCATTGACACTATTATACAAGAGCTGGACGATGACATCACGGTTTACTCCAGAGCGGCTATATATATATATAAATGAACTAAATAACTTTTTTTAAAACAAAAATGAAGTATCACTGAACTTACTTAAGCTGGACTGTGACGCTATTTTCTTCTGGAAACAAACTTTTAATGCATTATTTTCCGGTTATCTCTGTAAAGCTGCTTTGAAACACTCTGTGTTATAAACAGCGCTGTATAAATAAATGTGACTTGACTTGTATGCAAACACTATAAAGTGAGTTTTGCATCCGATGACCCCTTTAAAAAGGTCTTCAAAAGCCTTAAATTTGACTTTAAAAAGATGTGCATAAGCCATGTATTTCCTTTAACATGCGCCTCTTATTTCCATGGGCTCAGTTCCTGAAGATCTTCGACGAGTTGATGGAGGGCTTCGAGGCGATCCTCGCGGCGGGGAACATAGCCGTGGTGGTGCAGATGGTGGAGAGCTGCGTTCAGTGGGAGGAGCGGCAGGGAGAACTGCTACAGCGCCTCCTGCAGGTCAGGAGGAATCACTGCACTAATCTATAACCGTATGCAATGCATTCCTGGATTTAAAGGTGCAGTGTGTAATTTCTAGCGCATCTAGTGGTGAGTTTGTGAACTGCACCCAACAGAAGTTACGGTGGCCGACAGGAAGTGATGTCGTCGTCTGAGACGGCAGAGAGTAGCCAGTTAAACAATGAGGTTTCTTTACAAAGATAAATTAAGAAATTACGTTTAATTATTCAGTGAAACGATGTTATTGCGAATATTATTGTGACTTGTTCATCATTGTGTCAGTGTTTTATTCGCTGACTTTAGCAGCTTCTTATCATGAAGAACAACATAGTGACGAAACACGTTTGTACGCTCAGGGCCACCGTAGAAACCTGTGGATGTAAGCGGACCCGCGGTGTGTGTTGAGAGAAACGCTCATTCTAAGCTAATAAACACATAACGGGTCATTTTGTAAGATCTTTATACACCAAGAAACAGTGGCATTCGAGTTTAAGTTTCAAGGGAGTAAAGCCTGTGTTCATGACGTTAAGAAAATGAAATTTTGTTCTAAAGAAATGTTCATTTAAAAGCAGCTTTCCTCAGTGTATGTCACCATTAGAGAAGCGCATCAGCTCTCGTCGCTGTTGAAGGTCTTATCATCACGTGTAACACATAAGAATAATTGTAATTTGGCCGTCGGGTGCGGTATCTAAATCAGAGATTGGTGCGGGTGGATGATTTGTTTTTGCTCTAGTGTCTCCACTAACATTCAGAAGCGTGTAAAAGTGGAGCTCTCCCCGAGTCTCTCCGTAAGGCTGCACTCGCTGCGCGTTACTCCTGAGATTTGACTGAAATTCACTTTTGTTATTGCCGGAGTATCTGAAGCTCATTTGCATTTAAAGGGACACACACACAAAAACGGCACGTTTTTGCTCACACCCAAAAAGGGACAAATTTGCCAAGCTATAATAAATTATCTGGGCCCGTATTCATAAAGAATCTAAGAATCCTCTCAGAAAACTCTTAATTTAGCTTAAAAACTTTTACGTAGGAGTCTTAGCTTAAAGGATTAGTTCACTTTAAAAAAAACTTTTGCTGATAATTTACTCACCCCCATGTCATCCAAGATGTCCATGTCGTTCTTTCTTCAGTCGAAAAGAAATTAAGGTTTTTGATGAAAACATTCCAGGATTTTTCTACATATAATGCACTTCAATGGTAGCCAAACGGTTCAAGGTCTAAATGACCGTTTCAGTTCAGCTTCAAAGGGCTTTAAACGACACCAGACGATGAATAAGGGTCTTATCTAGAGAAACGATCGGTCATTTCAAAAATAAATAAAAAAGTTAAAATTTTATAGGCACAAATGCTCGCCTTGCGAACTCTCCTGTTCGAACTCGTTCATCAAAATGAACGAATCTTTTTTCGAGTCAATGACTCGAAAAAAGATTCGTTCATTTTGATGAACGAGTCAATGACTCGAAAAAAGATTCGTTCATTTTGATGAACGAGTCAATGACTCGAAAAAAGATTTGTTCATTTTGATGAACGAGTCAATGACTCGAAAAAAGATTCGTTCATTTTGATGAACGAGTCAATGACTCGAAAAAAGATTCGTTCATTTTGATGAACGAGTCAATGACTCGAAAAAAGATTTGTTCATTTTGATGAACGAGTCAATGACTCGAAAAAAGATTCGTTCATTTTGATGAACGAGTCAATGACTCGAAAAAAGATTCGTTCATTTTGATGAACGAGTCAATGACTCGAAAAAAGATTCGTTTATTTTGATGAACGAGTTCGAACAGGAGAGTTCGCAAGGCGAGCATTTGTGCCTATAAAATTTTAACTTTTTTATTTATTTTTGAAATGACCGATCGTTTCTCTAGATAAGACCCTTATTCATCGTCTGGTGTCGTTTAAAGCCCTTTGAAGCTGAACTGAAACAGTCATTTAGACCTTGAACCGTTTGGCTACCATTGAAGTGCATTATATGGAGAAAAATCTTGGAATGTTTTCATCAAAAACCTTAATTTCTTTTCGACTGAAGAAAGAAAGACATGGACATCTTGGATGACATGGGGGTGAGTAAATTATCAGCAAAAGTTTTTTTAAAAGTGAACTAATCCTTTAAGAGCGATTCGGGACCGATCTGAGAGCAACTCTGAGTAAGGAAAAGACAAAAACTGTCATCTTAAGCCTCGCTCACACTACAGGAGTTTTAAAATCCTAACCGATTTTGAAATCTGGTTGCAGCTCACACTTAAGGAGAATCTTTGCAGATTTTCTTACCTCAAATCTTAAACATGCTCACACTACAAGATTTGAAAATCGTGGCGCATCACACACTACACAATGTTATTAAGATTCGTGCCAGAGAAAGCGCCTCACGTGATCTCACGCAACAGATCGGAAGCGGAAAGGTGGATGTAAACAAAATATCTGTCCTTCATATCAAGTCATATTCGTGAAAAGGTTGCCGTGTGACCAAGGAAAGCGAAATCTTTAAAAATAAATCATCCTTTTAATAAGGATATTTCTAATGAATGGCGTCAGCTCTGTTCAATACAATGAATCAATGCCATAGATCTCTATAAGGTAAAGCATCAGCAGCGTTGCTCAATGCCCATTGCTGCTCAGCTGAGCATTGTAAAGTGGAGCTCAAAGTTAAAATTAAAATAATTAACAGCTTGTTTCATTTAACCTATCTTTGAATGAATATAACTTTATAATGAATATAAATATTTTATAATGAAAATATTTTTGTGTAGGCCTAGGCCTAATTCTGTGAATTACACTGTGCAAACCAAAGTAATAGCCTACAGTAGCTACTACCCACCGGATGAAGAAAGGGCTCTCAGTCTCCACAGAACATAAAATATTCATATTATTTTATTTTTCGTGTTGGCATTTGAGGAAAAAACAATGTTACGGACATGACCGCTCTAAGCGACTTTAAAATATGCTTTAAAACTTTCACAAAGACATCAAACAGAAAGCACAAAACCTTTCTTTAAATCGAATTTCGTTTTGTATTAATTGTATCTTAATTTTAAACAATGTTTCATCAACCAATTGCCTGGATTTTTATAAATAAGAAGTAAATATAGCAGACGATAGATAATCACGAAACGGAGGCGTCGGCGATAGGCTACTTCATAAATGAACCGAAACTCAGCGTATAAGATAGACTTGCCTCACAGACATGTCTACTTTTAAACAGAACAATTCAAAACGAAAGAAAACAGACTACAGACTGCTCTCTGCTTATGTAATCCGTATGAAATGTGCATTTCTCTCTGGCGCGTTCACTACTGAAGATCGCGTGCATCCTGCGGAAGACGGAAGAGTTGCAGATGGTTCAGGATCGATATCGAAAAATCTATATTTTTGACAACACTAGATTGTAGGCTACTTAGTTTATTATTTCAGATGCCTTTATTATGCATTTAGTATTTTATTATTATTTATTATACTGTATTGTGCTTATTTATTTAGCAATAAATGGATAAATAGAGATAATGCGCGCATCGCGCTGATGAGTCACTCAAAATTACCTCAATGGAAATTCCTTCACCATGACAGCCCTACTTATTGGCTATTGTGACAGTACTGACGTAATCACAATCTTGCTCATCCCGATAAATATCAAACATGTTTGATATGATCGGGGCGAGCCCGATTTGTGTAAGAGCAGATCGGGAGGTGCAAGATTCGATCTGTGAATGCCTCACATTACCAGATAATCTGTGCCGAACATCGGAACCGATCGAGGTCCTCGACAAGATTTTTTCTCCGATTCTCGGGAGGGGAAAATCGGGAATAAATCGGCCTAAAACTCCTGTAGTGTGAGCCAGGCTTTAGTGAGGAGGCGGGGCTGATCCCGTTGCTATGTGTGACACAATCTTTTGAAGACTGTGATTGGTTGGTTGTCCAAGAAGGGAAAAAAAGAGCCATTTTAAGTATAGAGTTTACTCACACATGCACACACACACACACACACACTATATATATAAATCCTTTTTTTTACCTTGCTGTTAATTTCCTAAGGTATTTGATTGGCTTAGAATGATAAAAATTGTTCCACTCTTTCCAATTACACTGATTGCTGTCTATTTAAGTGGTGGTTTGAATGTTTGTTTTAATATAGCAAACATGAATTAAAAAACAAGAAAGACGAGAAAGCCCGACTGGTCAGAACAACCGTGTTTACTCTTAGCCCAGTTAGTGGATGAACACTAGGCCATCATTAAAGGAAAATTCGGGCCGGGTGTCACAGCACGGAGCGAGAAGCGGACGTGGGAGCTTATAGCGCAAATGATTAACAGCTCATTCCCCTGCTTGTGCGCACCAGGGAAGCCTGCTATTCATAACTGCGTTTTTTTGAGCCTGCAAGGTGGGAATGTCCAGTGGAAACTAAACGAACTGCGACACAATAAGAGGTTCTGAAAGTGCTGTAATGTTTGTGTGATCACTGCTTACAGAAGGTTGTGACAGACCCAAATATTAGCGTGTCTCTAATAAGATCAGTCACAAACATGATCACTGCACGATCTCATCTATAGCGTCTTATTAACTCACTGTCTTATTAACTCACTTATTAACTCACTGTCTTATTAAGTCACTGTCTTATTAACTCACTGTCTTATTAAGTCACTGTCTTATTAACTCACTGTCTTATTAACTCACTTATTAACTCACTGTCTTATTAACTCACTTATTAACTCACTGTCTTATTAACTCACTGTCTTATTAACTCACTGTCTTATTAACTCACTGTCTTATTAACTCACTGTCTTATTAACTCACTTCTTAACTCACTGTCTTATTAACTCACTGTCTTATTAACTCACTGTCTTATTAACTCACTTATTAACTCACTTATTAACTCTGTCTTATTAAGTCACTGTCTTATTAACTCACTGTCTTATTAACTCACTGTCTTATTAACTCACTTATTAACTCACTGTCTTAACTCACTTATTAACTCACTGTCTTATTAACTCACTTATTAACTCACTGTCTTATTAACTCACTTATTAACTCACTTATTAACTCACTGTCTTATTAACTCACTTATTAACTCACTGTCTTATTAACTCACTTATTAACTCACTTATTAACTCTGTCTTATTAAGTCACTGTCTTATTAACTCACTGTCTTATTAACTCACTGTCTTATTAAGTCACTGTCTTATTAACTCACTGTCTTATTAACTCACTGTCTTATTAACTCACTTATTAACTCACTTATTAACTCTGTCTTATTAAGTCACTGTCTTATTAACTCACTTATTAACTCACTGTCTTATTAACTCACTTATTAACTCACTGTCTTATTAACTCACTTATTAACTCACTGTCTTATTAACTCACTTATTAACTCACTTATTAACTCACTGTCTTATTAACTCACTTATTAACTCACTGTCTTATTAACTCACTTATTAACTCACTGTCTTATTAACTCACTTATTAACTCACTGTCTTATTAACTCACTTATTAACTCACTGTCTTATTAACTCACTTATTAACTCACTTATTAACTCTGTCTTATTAAGTCACTGTCTTATTAACTCACTGTCTTATTAACTCACTGTCTTATTAACTCACTTATTAACTCACTGTCTTATTAACTCACTGTCTTATTAACTCACTGTCTTATTAACTCACTGTCTTATTAACTCACTTATTAACTCACTTATTAACTCTGTCTTATTAAGTCACTGTCTTATTAACTCACTGTCTTATTAACTCACTGTCTTATTAACTCACTTATTAACTCACTGTCTTATTAACTCACTGTCTTATTAACTCACTGTCTTATTAACTCACTGTCTTATTAACTCACTTATTAACTCACTGTCTTATTAACTAACTTCTTAACTCACTGTCTTATTAACTCACTGTCTTATTAACTCACTGTCTTATTAACTCACTTCTTAACTCACTGTCTTATTAACTCACTGTCTTATTAACTCACTGTCTTATTAACTCACTTATTAACTCACTTATTAACTCTGTCTTATTAAGTCACTGTCTTATTAACTCACTGTCTTATTAACTCACTGTCTTATTAACTCACTTATTAACTCACTGTCTTAACTCACTTATTAACTCACTGTCTTATTAACTCACTTATTAACTCACTGTCTTATTAACTCACTTATTAACTCACTTATTAACTCACTGTCTTATTAACTCACTTATTAACTCACTGTCTTATTAACTCACTTATTAACTCACTTATTAACTCTGTCTTATTAAGTCACTGTCTTATTAACTCACTGTCTTATTAACTCACTGTCTTATTAAGTCACTGTCTTATTAACTCACTGTCTTATTAACTCACTGTCTTATTAACTCACTTATTAACTCACTTATTAACTCTGTCTTATTAAGTCACTGTCTTATTAACTCACTTATTAACTCACTGTCTTATTAACTCACTTATTAACTCACTGTCTTATTAACTCACTTATTAACTCACTGTCTTATTAACTCACTTATTAACTCACTTATTAACTCACTGTCTTATTAACTCACTTATTAACTCACTGTCTTATTAACTCACTTATTAACTCACTGTCTTATTAACTCACTTATTAACTCACTGTCTTATTAACTCACTTATTAACTCACTGTCTTATTAACTCACTTATTAACTCACTTATTAACTCTGTCTTATTAAGTCACTGTCTTATTAACTCACTGTCTTATTAACTCACTGTCTTATTAACTCACTTATTAACTCACTGTCTTATTAACTCACTGTCTTATTAACTCACTGTCTTATTAACTCACTGTCTTATTAACTCACTTATTAACTCACTTATTAACTCTGTCTTATTAAGTCACTGTCTTATTAACTCACTGTCTTATTAACTCACTGTCTTATTAACTCACTTATTAACTCACTGTCTTATTAACTCACTGTCTTATTAACTCACTGTCTTATTAACTCACTGTCTTATTAACTCACTTATTAACTCACTGTCTTATTAACTAACTTCTTAACTCACTGTCTTATTAACTCACTGTCTTATTAACTCACTTATTAACTCACTGTCTTATTAACTATTGTCTGCATCTCATTTCTTCTCCCTCTTCATCATTCTGTCATTTTCTCCTCTGCTAAAGAAACTCTTAAGCCTCTTAAAAGTCCTCATCCGTACTCCTAACACTCTTTTAAGGGTTAAGATGCTTTCTGAATTACATTTTTCTTTACTAGGATTTTTTCTTTAATTTTAAGAGTAAACGCCCACATTTCTAAGAATTTTCTTAGAATTTTGTCACTAGGAGCGACTCTCTTTATGAATACAGGCCCTGGTATTTTGAGCTGAAATTTCACACACACATTCTGGGGACGCCATAGATTTATATTACTTATTTACATTATCTTGAGAAAAGGGTAATAATATGTCACCTTTAAAACTGCCCCGTTATGCTTTTTCTGTGTGTAAGAGAGCTGTTTGTTAATGTAATTGGTCTGTAAAGTTTCAAAGATCAAACGAAAGAAGCGAATCTGAACTGCCTGATATGTTTAAGATCGTAACTAATTTGCATAATGCCACATAATTTGGTTCATGTTGAGGACGCCGTTTCTGTTCGATGCGAATCCACTTGGGAAAACCGATGCCGTCGTTACTGTTTATATCACAAGTGCTGAGGAAGAAGGAAATGCTAATGAGCATTTGGTTTCCGACCAATCAGAGCAGAGCAGGTCTCAGAGAGGCGGAGTTTAGAGATCTTAGAATGAACCGTTTTAGACACTGTGAGAAAAGAGCTGATTCTGCAGTGGATATTATGAGAAGATAGTGTTTTTTGCCCTTGGATGCATGTATAATATACATGTGTAATAGGCGCCACCTTAAAAGTATGTATTTAAAGGGATAATCCACACAGAAATGATCATTCTGTCATCATTTACTCTCTCATGATATTCCAAACCTTTATGACTTCTGTTCTTCTGCTGAACGCAATGTTTTGAATTATCATTTTGGTTCCCATTGACTTCCATTAAGACAAACCATACAATGGAAGTGAATGGGAACGGAAACTGTTTGGTTATCAAGAAAGAAATGCATCCTTTCATCAGTGTTGTTATTGTGAACTAAAACCATAAGAGCATTTTAGTTACTTGAAATAAAATAAACATGTCGTGCATAAAACCAAAGATATTTAGCTAAATAAAATGATCCTGGCAGAAGAATTGCGCAATAACTTTATTATTTATTCTCCCGTCTGTATCATCTCAGTGAGCTAATGTAGACGTAGCCCAAGTCTTTCAAAATGGCTAAATAAACAAAATAAAAAATGTCCAATGAAACCAGTTTCAACTCTCATTTTTCAACACGTCACACGTCAACTTTACGCATTGTTTATTTGAGCATACTATTTTTTCTAATACTATTCCTCATGAATACTTGACAAAGTCTGGTGTTTCATTAAGATAAGCTGATACTAAATGTTAAACTCCATTTCCCATCAGGCCTTTCACTGCAGTGAACCGGCGTCTCTGCAAGTTTCTTGTCTGCCTCTGTTTCTGTCGTTCTTGACGTATGAAGTGTATTACAACACCGAGCCAGCAGAGGGCGACGCCGTCACACAGGTGAGTCTGCTTATAGTGTGCATTATGGGAACTTTTAGCAAATGCCTTGTCCAAACACACACACTTGCGATCTTTGCTCTTGACCACTTGTCTTTTTGCATGACGTTTTTCCTCTATTTGGCTCAAGTGTTCAAGTAGTGTGTGTAGCACTTTTGATTAATTTATGGGACATACTTGCAAAAAAATGCAAGTGCTTTTATTTATTATATTTTCAATACGTTGCATTTTTAAATAAACTTCTACATGTCTGTTCAGTAGTCGCTGTGAACTAACAGAAGACACATTTAAAATTGTGGTGCTTCTAATTAAGTGATAAAAAAATGATGTACAAAATAGGCATTATACACACACCACACTCATCGTTGCACCAACAAAATGTGCAACACTTTGTTTTTACTACCAAATTATATGTATCTAATTAATTTAAATTACAGTGGAAATGTTTTTCTCGACATCTCTCGATTTCGGGGCACATGAGTTCCCGAACATAGTGCATGATGGGATACGCTTAGCTCCGAATCATTAGAGATAGTGTGGGTTTAGTGTGCATTAAGGGCACTATGGCATTTTTAAGATATGCAGTCTTGTGCACTTACTTCCCGTTGCGTGCACACGCTCTCAAGTGTGCAAGACCCCAGGAAAGGAAAAACAAAGACAAATAAATACCTAGAATTACATTGTTGCACAAGTGTATTTTATAATGAGGCATGGAATTATTATAACCAATCACATTCAAACTCTTATTGAGAAAAAAATTATAATTTTCCGGTTCAGGGTTATTATGGTTAACTAAAAGCAAAACTAAACATTTCTGTTCATTGAGATAAAGCTAAAATAAAATATAAATATTAGTTGGATAACTTAAACTGCACAAAATTAGAAATGTTGAAGAAGCAGTAAAATTATTAACTGGAAATAAATAACTAAAACCGAATTTAAAAAATAAATTAAACTTAAATAATAAAAACGAATAAAATGCCAAATCACATAAAATTAAGCTAAGATTAACATGAAAACAACTAAAAACATAAGCTTATTGAAAATATTAGTGTTTTATAAATATGTAGTATGCAGTATGTAAAGTGTAGTATGCAGTATGTAAAGTGTAGTATGAAGTAAAGTGTAGTATGCAATATGTAAAGTGCAGTATGTAGTGTAGTATGCAGTATGTAAAGTGCAGTATAAAGTAAAGTGTAGTATGAAGTAAAGTGTAGTATGAAGTAAAGTGTAGTATGCAATATGTAAAGTGCAGTATGTAATATGTAAAGTGCAGTATGTAGTGTAGTATGCAATATGTAAAGTGCAGTATGTAGTGTAGTATGAAGTATGTAAAGTGCAGTATGAAGTAAAGTGTAGTATGAAGTAGTGTAGTATGCAATATGTAAAGTGCAGTATGTAGTGTAGTATGCAATATGTAAAGTGCAGTATGTAGTGTAGTATGAAGTAAAGTGTAGTATGAAGTAAAGTGTAGTATGCAATATGTAAAGTGCAGTATGTAAAGTGCAGTATGTAGTGTAGTATGCAATATGTAAAGTGCAGTATAAAGTAAAGTGTAGTATGCAATATGTAAAGTGCAGTATGTAGTGTAGTATGCAGTATGTAAAGTGCAGTATAAAGTAAAGTGTAGTATGCAATATGTAAAGCGAAGTATGTAGTGTATGTAAAGTGTAGTCAGTATGCAGTATGTAAAGTGCAGTTTGTAATGTGCAGTATGCCATTTGTAAAGTGCAGTATGTAAAGTGTAGTCAGTATGCAGTATGTAAAGTGTAGAATGCCGTTTGTAAAGTGTAGTGTGCCGTTTGTAAAGTGTAGTATGCAGTATGTAAAGTGAAGTATGCCATTTGTAAAGTGCAGTATGCAGTATGTAAAGTGTAGTCAGTATGCCGTTTGTAAAGTGTAGTATGCCGTTTGTAAAGTGTAGTGTGCCGTTTGTAAAGTGTAGTATGCAGTATGTAAAGTGTAGTATGCCGTTTGTAAAGTGTAGTGTGCCGTTTGTAAAGTGTAGTATGCAGTATGTAAAGTGTAGTCAGTATGTAAAGTGCAGTATGTAATAGTGTTGTCAAAAATATCGATATTTCGATAAATATCGATACTGAAATATCTGAACGGTACCAATACTAATTTCCCGACGTATCGATACTAGCCGAGCAGTCACTTTCACTTCTCTCAAAAGGCGCGTTGACAAACACCACACGTGACGCACTCGTCTTATTCGCTCTGGTTAAATAGCAAAAGTGAAGTGAATGGAAAGATGGCGAGGGCCGCGCCCCCGCGACCGGCTTTGGTTGATTGATAAAGAACACCACGAGCGGGCATGTCGGAGAATAGCGCGCACACGCAAAAAACACACCGCGAGCGGGCATGTCGGAGAATAGCGCGGACACGCGTAAAAAACACACCGCGAGCGGGCATGTCGGAGAATAGCGCGGACACGCGTAAAAAACACACCGCGAGCGGGCATGTCGGAGAATAGCGCGGACACGCGTAAAAAACACACCGCGAGCGGGCATGTCGGAGAATAGCGTGGACACGCGCTACACACCGCGAGCGGGCATGTCGGAGAATAGCGCGGACACGCGAGCGGGCTGCGGGCACCCAACAGATTGTTTGACTATCAATAATCCCTCACATCACTCATTTTTTAAAATTATTGTATAGGTGAAAACAGACTTAAGGAACAGGCTCCAGGGGTAACTTAGGCTACTATTTAGCAGCATATGCTCAGCATCAGGGGTGTTTGTTGTTTGGACAGACCTGCCCCCACTGCTAAAAAAAAAATCCTCAAGGAAACACTCTTCCCATTTAAACTTTTCTGAAACATTAACCAAGATGGCCTAGTATTGTTGTTGATAAGAGTCTGTGTTGTCTCGTTTTTATTCTTAAAGTTAACATAGCCTAATCTGACTGAGGAATCTTAGACAAGTAAATATTGTAAGTGTGGTCAAATGTAAATTAACTGGTGCCTATTTAACTTTATTCAAAAATTATTATTTAATTCTGCAATTTTCCTTCATTAGCTATTATCATCAATTTGATTACATACACAGATATTAATTAAACTAAACAGCTAGACAATGGCATCTCTAAATTCAATAATGACATGCCTTTAACTGAAAATTGAATGTTTAATCGTATTATTATACATTACTGACTCTCTATCCTCCAATTTGATACTGTTAAGTGCTTTTTTGTTACAGTATATTTTAATCTTTGATAACAGTAGGTAATAAAAATACATCATGTTAGCTCTGGTCCAATTAAAAAATATAAACAAATAGAACTCAGGACATTTTTGTTCATGTAAAATATACCTCATTGTCATGTTCTAGACTTGTTATATTTAGCTTTAAATTTAAAAAAAATACCCCCTTAATATTGTGGCAGTTTTTTCTCTGTGGTATCGAAAATGGTATCGAATATCGATATTTTTCAAGGTATCGTATCGAAGTTAGAAATTCTAGTATCGTGACAACACTAGTATGTAAAGTGTAGTGTGCCATTTGTAAAGTGTAGTATGCAGTATGTAAAGTGTAGTCAGTATTCAGTTTGTAAAGTGTAGTATGCCGTTTGTAAAGTGTAGTATGCAGTATATAAAGTGCAGTATGGCATTTGTAAAGTGCAGTATGCCGTTTGTAAAGTGTAGTATGCAGTTTGTAAAGTGTAGTATTCAGTATTTAGTGCAGTATGTAAAGTGTAGTATGCAGTATTTAGTGCAGTATGTAAAGTGTAGTATGCAGTATTTAGTGCAGTATGTAAAGTGTAGTATGCAGTATGTAAAGTGTAGTATGCAGTATGTAAAGTGTAGTATGCAGTATTTAGTGCAGTATGTAAAGTGTAGTATGCAGTATGTAAAGTGTAGTATGCAGTATGTAAAGTGTAGTATGCAGTATGTAAAGTGTAGTATGCTGTATTTAGTGCAGTATGTAAAGTGTAGTATGCAGTATGTAAAGTGTAGTATGCAGTATGTAAAGTGTAGTATGCAGTATGTAAAGTGTAGTATGCAGTATGTAAAGTGTAGTATGCAGTATGTAAAGTGTAGTATGCAGTATTTAGTGCAGTATGTAAAGTGTAGTATGCAGTATGCAGGTGACATGCTCTGTCTGTGTGCTCAGGCTTCTCCTCAGGCTTTCTCAGTATGTTATCACGGCTCTCGGCTGGTTCAAGCTCTGGCCGGGTTTAAAGAGCGATCGGTTCTGATGAACAGCCTTCATGACCTCTGCCCCCGTGACCTCTTGACCTTCGCCACCGACCCCTTCGGGAGCCACGCGTTTCAGGTGCTGGTGACGCTGGCCAGCGATAAGGGCCGGGGGAAGATGCTGAGGAAGATGGAGGTAAAGCTTGAGTTTGAATTAAAGGGGTGATATAATGCCCCCTTTTCACAAGATGTAAAATAAGTCTCTGATGTCCCCAGAGTGTGTGTGTGTGTTTGTGTGTGTGTGTGTGAGAGAGTGAGCAGCTCCTAAGTCTCTGATGTCCCCAGAGTGTGTGTGTGAAGTTTCAGCTCAAAATACCGCACAGATATTTTTTCATAACATGTTAAAATTGTCTCTTTTTGAGTGTGAGCAAAAACGCACCGTTTTGTGTGTGTCCCTTTAAATGCAAATCAGCTGCTGCTCCCGGCACAGGGGGCGGAGCTACAAGAGCTTGTGTGTGTGTGTGTGTGTGTGTGTTAGCAACTCCGATTACCTCTTCTCAACATGGACTCCATTTGTTGCGTGTTCCCGGGGGCGGGGTTTATGTAAATTCTAGGGTTTGTGATGTCACTAACCCGTGAAGAAGCTCTTGTAGTTCCTACCAGCCGTGTGTTGTAGTCCTTAAAAAGTGATTTCTGTAAAAGTAAATCTCTCCCTTTGCTTTGAACGTTGAGCGTCGTAACTTTGCAGATGTTGCTTATGTTTAAAGTGAGTTTGAAAGACTTTGCCTGACTTATGTATTGATTTACTACTTATTTTTATTTTTTTTATTTGCCTGTGTGTTTTCTCTACATGTATGGATGAATGTTATTTGTTAAACCCACGTTGTTGTGTTGCTGATAATCTTGGCCGCTCTTGTAAGAGGTTTAATCTCAATGTGCTTTCTTTCCTGGTAAAATAAAGGTTATAATAATCATAATAATCTGAATCATGACATCTCTGCTGCAGGACATGTATGTGGATCTGGCGTGTTCGATGTACGGTAGTCGTTTCCTGGAGGCCGTGTGGAACAGCGCCACCATCAGTCAGAGACGGAGAATAGCAGAAAGACTGGGTGAGTTCACATCTCGTCAGATTTATCTCACCGGCTCGTTTACATGCACAACCTTTGTGTCAGTCGGACTGAATTCACTCCGGTTGATGAATCTGAACGTAGTGTTTACATGAACGCTAAACGTGATCGGGTCGATGTGCGCGTTTATATGTCACAAGCTTCAAATCGTAATTTACTTTTTGACATGCGCACACTGCACGAATATACAGTTTCCCGCTGTTTGCGCATAACTATTCGTATACATTGGTTCTTTATTTGTTTTAAACAGCAGACTTAATATTTATCCATTTCTGGTCATAATTTGGAGACTATGAGCGTATATGAACCGTTGTGCCGCTGCTTATGTTGATCACGCAGTAAAAATGCCCAAAACCAGTCATGTGTGGATGAGAGTCTGAAACCAGCACTGGTGGGCCGTTGTCTGGTAATTCATGTTAGTAATGTGTTCAATTTTGGACTGGTGGGCCGTTATTTCTAAGTCATTACACTATTTCTACGTCATTACGCTATTTCAACGCAATTACGCTTTTTCGACATCATTACGCTATTTCTAAATTATTACGCTATTTCTACATCATTACGCTATTTCAACGTAATTGCGCATTTTCTACATTACGCTATTTCAACATCATTACGCTATTTCTACAGCATTGCGCTATTTCTAAATTATTACGCTATTTCTACATCATTGCGCTATTTCAACATCATTACGCTATTTCTACATCATTACGCTATTTCAATGTAATTGCGCATTTTCTACGTCATTACGCTATTTCTACATCATTACGCTATTTCTAAATTATTACGCGCTATTTCTACATTACGCTATTTCTAAATTATTACGCTATTTCAACGTAATTACGCTATTTCAACGTAATTACGCTATTTCAACGTAATTACGCTATTTCAACATCATTACGCTATTTCTACATCATTACGGTATTTCAACGTAATTGCGCATTTTCTACATCATTACGCTATTTCAACATCATTATGCTATTTTCGGGGGAAGTCCCAAATTATTAATAATACATTTATCAGCTGATAACATGTAAAAAAAAAAAATCATGAATTCATTAATGAATGAATAATATTTCATTTTCAGGGAAAAAAAAATCCTATAAATAAAAACAGTTTTAAATTACAGTTTATTATTACATTCAAAAGGTAAATAAAATGAAAAGTTTCACTCCACAACAAATCTTTTAAATATCAGTATTCAGAACAGGAATGAAACATAAGTATGTGGAGTAGAGCGTGTTGCTCATGTTCTGTTCTCTCAGTTCCCAGTGAGTCTCAGCTTCGATCCGATCGGTTCGCGAGGCACATTTGGGCCAAATTCGGCCTGACGTCGTTCCTGAAGCGCCAGAGCGACTGGATGGAAGCGCAGACGGGAGAGTCGAAGAAGAGGAAGATGTTCAGGGATATTCTGGAGTGACGAGTTCAGACACTGTCCATAAACTCCTGTGGATGTTAATCATTCCAGCGGAGCGACCCACGCCAGCAGAGAGACGCTGGAGTCATGAGGAAGTTTCATATAATCGCTTTTGAAGATGCATTTTAAATAAAAAAAAACATCAAAACATGCTATTATTGTGTATGTCTGTGCAACACATCTGACTGATGTATGCGACAAATCAACCAGAAGTGACATCGGTAACCACAGGCCATAAATCATATCCACTGGATCACTGATCAAACTTTCACACGCATAATAATGCATATTTTAAATTTTTAGTGTAGCTCACAAGGGCTGAGCAATATTGGAAAAAAATTACATTGTGATGTTTGTTTTTCTATGATGTATATTGTGATGTCTATATAGATTTTTTATTTTCATAAGTTAGACTAGATTTTAGATTTTTTTTTATATATATATAAATATATTAATGAATTTATTTTTCACCGGATGACTTGCAAAAAAATCTTGAATTAATTGAAATAAATGAATTTAGATTTTTTAATCATGACATGGGAGGAAAAATTATGAATTAATATAAATTAATGAATTAATAATTAAATTAATTAAATTAATACTGTTGTGTTGAAAGAAATCATGAATTTAAATTAATGAATAATTTTTCACCAGATAACTTGGATAAAAATCATGGATAAATATAAATTTAATTAATTTTTCACCAGATCACTTAAAAGAAATCATGAATTAATTGAAATTAATGAATTAATAATTTTTCACCAGGTAACTTGGGAAAAAAATAATGCATTTATTTTAAATAAATGTAATTCGTACTTTTTCACCAGATGTATTGGGGAAACAAATCAAATTGGATTCATTTAATTTTAATTAACTTGTGTTGAAAGAATTTTTCACCAGATGGCTTCAAAGAAATCATGAATTAATCTTAAATAAATGAATTAATAATTTTTCACCAGGTAACTTGGGGGAAAAAATAATGAATTTAAATAAATGTAATTCGTACTTTTTCACCAGATGACTTGGGGAAACAAATCATGAATTAATATAAATTAATGAATACATTTTTCACCAGCGTGAATTAAAATACATTTAATTAATACTTTTTCACCAGATGAGTTGAACATCTCTATTTGGAGAATAATTAAACCCCTGAACGTCCTCATAAAAGAGTGGTCTTATAGTCATTGAATCAGCCTTCATCAATAAAGACATTACGAATGCTAGTCTTCAGTGCTGTTTTCCTGCAGAAAGAGGTTTGCGGTTCGGTCCCGCTGAGTGAAGGTCAGGCAGCTGCGATCTCCTCTATCTGTGTGGGAGAGACGGAGGAGGAACGCCAAACCCCCGAATCTGATCATCGGGGCGCCGTGACATTCAGCTGAGGAATTCTCCTGATGCAGTCACAACCACAGAGCTGATAGAGTCTCCGAACGCCCAGAGTTTCACACGCCTGAGCTCTGAGCCGGCGCGGCATGTGACGGGAAATATTTCACTTTTGGTGAATTATTCATATTTTAGATGTGTAAAGTTCGTTGGGACAAACTTTGAAAGCCATTTGAAAGCTTTATAAGCTTTAAATTTAGTGAAGTGGAAAGACAAAGAGAGAGAAAGACTTTGCTAGCATGAATTAACATGTTGCTAGTATGATTTAACACTTTTCTAGCATGAATTAGCATGTTTTTATCACGTTATTAGCATGTTTAAACACATTGTTTGCATGATTTCGAATTTTGCTAGCATGTTTCAATACGTTGTTAACATGATTTAGCAGTTTGATAAAATAAATAAGCATGTTGCTAACATGTTTTTAGCACATTGCTAGAATAAATGAGCATGTTCTCGCACATTGTTAACATGAATTAGCAGTTTTGAGCACATTGTTAACATACATTTTTATATTGCTAGCATTTAACACATTGTTAGCATGAATTAGCATATTGTTAACATTATTTAGCATGTTGATAACATGTTTCAACATGTTGCTTGCATGTAAATTCATGATACCAAAGTGTTCAATCATGAATGTGTTCAAAAATTTTCTGCATTTTGTTGGAATGAATCAATTAACATGATTTTAGCATGAATTAGCACACAGCTAGCACAAATTAGCATTTTACTACCCTGTTTTAAAATGTTGCTAGCATGATTTAGCACTTTGCTAGCTTGAATTGGCATTTTGCTAGCATGAATTTAACAAGTCTTACCAAATTGCTAACATGTTTTAGCATGTTGTTAGAATGAATTAATGTGTTGCTTGCATAATTTAACATTTTTCTAGCATGTTTTAACAGGTTGCTAGTATGATTTATATTTTTATGTTAGTTTGATTTAACACATCGCTAACATGAATTAGCAGTTTTTTCCACATTGCTAACATGATTTAGCATGTTGTTAGTATGAATTAACACGTTTGCTAGCATGATTGAACATGTTAACATGTTTTAATGTTATTAGCATGAATTAGCATGTTGTTGGCATGTCCTAAGCTACTTGTTAGGCTTTGCCAGTGATAGATAGTGGATGGAGCTTTGATAGAACTATTATATTAGTAATATAAGTTTTGATCCCCTAAATTTAATTCTATGGGAATCTTGAAATTTTTAATCTTCATTTTTAGAAAAGTTAGATAATGATGTGCACGAATAGGCTAAACCATGCATTTCTAATAAACACTGCATTGAAAAAAAAAGGTCCATTTTGATTTCATGGTGACATTATTGCTAATTATGTGTAACTTAAAGTGCTGTTGCACCATCGGGAATGGTTTTCCCAGAGGATTGGCTTGATAGGGATTTCCTTTCCCGGTCCCGCCCTCATTAGTGAGCTGATGATGGAGATCGAGGCTAATGGCGAATCTGCAGCTGTGAACGCGTTCGCTAGATTGACTGCAGCTGCTCTCCGTCCGCACGCGCGTCACTCACAACAACCCCATTCATAATTAAACAGTAATATCATACATCAGCGTTTGTATTACATTTGTTTACTATTTGACAGACTACACGAAAGCTCCTTCAGTCACTCACAACAACTCATTCATAATTAAACTGTAATATCGGTCATCAGCGTTTGTATTCGTATAGTGTACTTGCGTTTGTTTACTATTTGACCGACTAAGGTTACACAAAAGCTCCTTCAGTCCCTCATAACAGCAAGATAACATATCTAGTGTTTATTATTTAATAAACACAGTACAAGAGACAGTAAGAGTATCTCGTTTGTTGTTTTATTGTTGTGTTTTTTCATCCCCCCAAATAACTTTATATATTTTTGACCTGGATCACGGTGTGCTATTCTTAGTTTTTTGTGAAGTTAGACGCTAAAAAAAACTGTTATATTTTAATTGTATTATTAGTTGTTTGTGGTGGTGTTGTTGTTGTAGTAGTCGCCTATAAATATTAGCATTATTAGCAATATTAGCATTAGCACTTTTTTTCTCGCAACTACGAGTTTACATCGTCGTGAGTTATAAAGACAGAATTGCGAGTTAAAAATTCTTACTTTATAATTCGCAATTACTTGAAAAAAAGCAAGTAGGCCTATCTGACTAATATGTAGCCTAAAGATTAGCCAAATATTAACGTAATTAATCTGAAAGGTTTTTTAAAACAAAATAATGTGAGGCTATATTTGTAATATATAAATCTACAATAAAGTAATAAATATTGACTGCTTGTCAAGTTTAATCAACGTATCATCCGATAGCTGCCGATCGTAAGGCTTGTGCTGTTGCTATGGTTACCAAGAACGAACGCGATTCTCTTCACAAGCGATTATTTATGCACAATTTGAAGTTTGACCTGAAGTCACTGGACTATTTTTACGTTTTTAAATGTTTAAAAGTTAGATTATACAAAAAGGACGGCTGCTATCAAAGTAAAATGGCTCAATATGTAAATCTAGAACAAACTAATAGGCTATAGACAGTTTGTCATGTTTTATTAACGTACGTCCGATGCTGATCGTAAGGCTCGTGCTGTTGCTACGGTTACCAAAGTGAACGCGATTCTTTTCACAAGTGATTATTCTACGCGAAAACTAACTTTCAAAAGGCGGACCGCGGGAGATAATTGCGCCATTTTACCGTTTCCAAAGTTTAAAGTGAGCAGCGTGTCAAAACAAATGACTCCGGCCATTTAACTAAACCAGGTTTGTGACAAGTTCTGCGTGGGGCCTTTAGACGTTTAGTTTTTTTCCCCATACATTTAGCATTAATAACGTGTATCATATACACGCGTGTGGACGCGAGAGTGTGTGTGTGTGAGAGAGAGAGAGAGAGAGAGAGAGAGAGAGAGAGAGAGAGAGAGAGAGAGAGAGAGAGAGAGAGAGAGAGAGAGAGAGAGAGAGAATGTGTGTGTGTGTGTGTGTGAGAGAGAGAGAGAATGTGTGTGTGTGTGTGTGTGTAAGAGAGAGAGAGAGAGAGAGAGAGAGAGAGAGAATGTGTGTGTGTGTGTGTGTGTGTGTGTGTGTGTGTGTGTGTGTGTGTGTGTGTGTGTGTGTGTGTGTGAGAGAGAGAGAGAGAATGTGTGTGTGTGTGTGTGTGAGAGAGAGAGAGAGAGAGAGAGAGAGAGAGAGATAGTGTGTGTCTGTGTGCGTGATTGTTGTGTGTGTGTGTGTGTGTGTGTGTGTGTGTGTGTGTGTGTGTGTGAGTGAGAGAGAGAGAGAGATAGTGTGTGTCTGTGTGTGTGAGTGTATTTATTAATCAGCATATAAAGAGCATTTCATAATAAACAATGTTGTCATTTGGAAAAGTATTTAGAGATGGCAAGGAAAGACAAAAAACATTGAAATTACTAGTTAACTTTGTTTTGTCCTCATGATGAGTTTTATATGATCATGTGCGTTGTTTGTTTTTTATTACTTTGTGCAAAATATAAAAATAGTCCATACTTTTCTTTAGAGGTAAACCCTGTGCGTTTTCTCCGTTCCAAGGCCTCAAATGCAAAAAAATAAGAATAATAAAAATAACCTGATAAAACATCTGATCAATTTTATATATATATATATATATATATTTATATCCAGTTGGGAGAAATATTGACTTTTTTTGGTAAATAAATATTGGTAAAAATTCTCAGACATCACTCGGGAACCAAGAGTCTCAAGTCTATATACGAATTTTTTTTTTTTTTTTTTTTACGTCTAAAATAAATTCTTT